ATCCCACAAGCCAATCTGTTGGTAAGCACCATCACTGCGCCAGACATTGAACTGAGTATTGTTTACAGGATCAATGCCTAAAGCATAAGAACCATCAGCAGGGCCAGATGAGCTAAACCAGGATACTAGAAACTGTTTCCTCAACTGCTCAGTCTTCATGTTAAACAACCCCAATTTCATTCCAGGAAGAAATGTATCCGTCGGATAATAGAAACTCTGCCACAAAATCTCTTCTCCTTCCATGAGAATTAGATTTCCCGAGTCATGAATTGTTGCACGTGTGTTATTGCTTGATGCAAGTGCTCCATAATTCAGAATAAACGGAATATTGCTTCGATCACTAATCACCATGTTCCCATCATACCTGATGGTGAGAAATACTCCTGAGGAACCCAGTACTCCTGGGAAATCCATAAGGGGGCTATCTCTATTTGCAACCCAAACTGGCTTTTGGTTCTTGTCATTCTTGAACCAGATTCCCAAGTATCCATTTGGTGCAGCATGGGAGCTGAAAAAACCTAGCTCAAACACTCCACCAGCAGAAACCAAGGTTTCATTTCTATATAAATACTGTCCATGCCTGAGGGAGTCTGATGCATGAGATAAGCACACAAAGAAGCAGCTGAAGATACAGAATACAACAGAAAATGCTCTCCATGGTTTCATGTTAAATAGATTAAAGAGAGACAGCACTAGTATGATCCGAGTCGAAGTTGTCATTAGGCTTATTATGCTAGTGACAACATTTCTTGATGCACCATAATCAGAAATGAGAGTCGAAATTCAACTTTAAAAAAATAGTCAAAATGGTAGACTTCTAACAATTCTTTGGAGTACGGTTTCTGTGAAGTGAAATTGTGAGCTAGATGTTGGGAACTTACGGTTTGGTGAATGATGTTGCTCCGGTTTCGTTCCCTTTTCGCTGAAATGATGTTGGAAACTTATGTGTGGGGAATTGAAATGATGACAGAATTACAGCCTAATGGAGATTTAATTTCGTTTTTTGAATAAAATCCTATAGTCCAAACGAAGGAATAAACATTGTTGACCTCACTCTTAACCAAGGAGACCAGCAGTCCCTCTAAAATCCAAGAAAGTGTTCAGTATTTCTTGGCCAACGTTATGTGCATGAATCTTTAGCATTGATATTATCATTATCATATTCTCAAAAGTCTAATAACTTGTTTTTAGTTTCTCCCTCCCTATGCTCATAATTTTTTTTTAAGTCTTTAAACACAAATGTTAAAGATCCATCACATTTTATGTTTAAATTCTCACTCATGTTAAAATTTATTAAATGTACATTATTTGTAAGTAACGGCATTTATTCCATATTTAAATATGAAAAATGCTAGAGTTATCATATTTTTATATCACATTATGTACCATTTCTATAATATAGGTGGGCCCCATTATATTGGTGGACTCCACCTCTATTATAGAGGTCCTTATCATATTTTTATACTACATTGTATATCACCTCTCTAATAGAGATGGGTTCCATTGTATTAGTAGACTCCACCTCTATTAGAAAGGCGATATACAGTGATGTATAAAAATGTGATAAGCCTAGCATTATTCCTTAAATATATATGTACTCGAGATTAACTTAAAAGCTTACCAATAATCCTGAAGGGTATCATTTTTGGGTTTTGTAAGTCATATGAAATATTTTAAAGTAAAAAAAGAAAAGATAAAACATTTAAAGAACAATGGCAATCCAAACATAAAAAGCGTAGGAGGTCCCATACCAGTGCCAGTGTGCCACGCATTCCAAATTGAAACGGGTCCCCTCCTTGGGCCGGGTGGGGCTGATCTAATAGAAGCATCAGATAGCAAACCAAACGGGCCTCTGTTTTCTTCTACGGCCCGCTTCTTGAGCACAAGGGTCTACCTGGGAATTTAGCCTTAGCTTCATGGAATTGACTCCACGCTCTCCAACTGTTTGAGAAATCGACCCTGCGAAACTCCAACCCTGTAAAAATGATTCCAAAGGCACTACGCACCGTGTGCACAGTTGCTGCCGTACTCGTCGGCGGATTTTTCACACTGAATTTGGCTTCCACTGCCACTATTGGAGCGCTTCGGTTGGCCACTGAATCCAAAAGGGTAAGAAGACCAAAACCCACCTTGGCATCTTTACCTTTCCAACTTTCATCTCCTTTTGTTTGCTAAATTGCTCTCTTATCATTCTGTTTTTTGGTGGATTTTGGGCAGAGAAAGATTGCTCTGCCTTGTGGGGTTTGTAGAGGGAAAGGGTTTTACATATGCAAGCTATGCAAAGGGAATAATACCATTGAATGGTCGCCTCTGTATGACCCAATTGCCATCAACCCCTGTCTTTGCCCAACCTGCGACGGAAATGGGTTAGTGAACACTGATACTGCTTGCTTTTATTCTTTCTTTCTCCTCCTCATGTTGCTACAATTTGGCAATGAATTTTTGGGTTAGTGTCTTCAGCCAGATTTAAGCTTACATTTTTCCCTTCTTATTGAGAAGATTAAAATGCTTGAGTGGTGTTTTGAAGTTTTTTTCCTTGGGATTTTGCAGGATACAACGCTGTCTGAATTGTGTGGGGAAGGGATACAATTGAGTTGTGAAAGAGGCAGAATGTACTTTTAATTCTCTAGTTTTTGATATCATAATCGTGTAATATGTCTCGTATCATCCATCCACTAAACCTTATAGTTGTATCAATTATTAATTTGTCTTAGCCTTTTGAGATTATAAACCAACAGGATAACCCCTTCAACATGCAGTCACTACGTCTATCAAAAACTGGTTTGAGATTTGACCTAATCAGCTTTTGCAAGAAAAGAGAAAAGAGTAAGCAGAGAGCACTTGAGAAATCTAGATTGTTGTGTGTACATGAAATGAAACTTGTTGAGGATGAAATCCTTGAAAGTTGAAACTTGTATACCATTGTAATTTGCAGGAATTATGCGAGTGCATAATTATATTTATGATCGTGAGTCACTATGAGCCGTTGATTGCCATTGTCACTCGTTAATTGTGAGCTGATGGTGGGATTATAGCAAGAGCTGGGCCAGACTGTGGCTCAGCCCAAACTATCATTTTGTTAGCTTTTCCTATGTAACTCAAGCCCACAACTATCCAATTCTAAACCACAGCCCAAAATTTTAAAATTTTAATATTTAATTCGCATACGCAAAGAGTAATGGACATCACATCACGATTTGTCATCAGTGCACCTCCATGAGTCATCACTCCTTTCACATATCCACGTCACTAGAAACAAAACCTACGTGTTGATCAGATTTCGGGCCCCATCTAAAGCCGCCCCTCCCCCCAAAACAATGTTATGATTGGGGGTCGTGGTGTGATGACACCGGCCCGCGTGTCACCTAACATCAAAAACCGGAAATGGCAAAAAAGGTGGAGGAGGGTCAGCAGCTTTTGTGGCTTTCAGGTGGGAATGAAATACAGTGGCCCACGTATGCACATAGATAATTAAAAGCCTCTCAGCTCGGATGCTAACTTACGCCGCCCATTCGCATTATTTTATGCCCCCTCTTCCCCTGTTTTTTTTATAAGAATAATATTTGGTTGGTTTAGAATTTTAAAGGTAATTTTTATTCCATTATCAGAGTTTTTGGTTTTGTACGAACTTCCTTTTTCCTTGAAAGGATTGATGTTCCAGTAGTTTGCAAACGTGTACGCTCGGCGCAATATAGCACAGGATTTGTTAAATTGAATGATATGCGTCAAATGCTGCTTTGACTGAAGGTTTCCTAATTGGACTAAAAGACAAAAAAAAGGGAGGTTATCTCGTTAGAATGTAACCGCCAGCCAACAGGCCAATGGCATGGCACCATGCAATGGGAAAGAGAACATTTTCATTGCGCTTGTAAATTAATACCCTTGCATGCCTTCTTATTTTCTAAAATGCCCCTTTGTCAATTAAAAATATACAAATTTATAAATAAACTCAATCTTAGACATGTATTTATAAAAAAACTCAAACACTATTTAAACATAGAAACACACCCAAAATCAACCCCAAAGTCAAAAATTGTATATTTTTTGGGTGTGTTTATAAAGTGTTTTTGGTGTTTGATTTTTTTATAATTTCAGCTTCCATTTTGGGTGTTTAAGTGAAACTCCCTTAAAAATAATGGTTAATCCACTAATAAACTATAACCATCTCCTCGTTCATAGTCATATTCCATTGGAGAGCATCTAGGTTTATTCGTTTGTTTCTCTAACTCCCTGATTCCAGGATCAAAAGTTTCGCTATAATTATTATACTTGGTAATTCTTTACTTTCTAAAAATAAAAGAGAGTGGTCCGATAGTAACAAAATTAATCAATCTCAATTCATTTATAAAAAGAAAAAAATGCATTATGCGATAAGTATTGAGAATACTATCAATGATCAGTATGAGATGATGATTGAAAAATAAACGCTTGGAAAGTAATTTTGTTTGCGAAGGTTTTGTGGATGCCTCTAAAAAATCATGATAGTAGAAAGAAAAAAAAACACCAAAAGAATCCACCATTTGAGGGCTGAGAATAAATCCCACATCTATTGTGATTAGATTTGGGGACTACAAATCAGATATGCAGTATAATTCCCTTATGATTGGAAGTTATTATTCCATAAGAATCATAATAATAAGTGGACTTCAACCTTAAAATAAAAAAAAATAAAAAATAAAAGGTGCTTCCTTATCTTCTTATAAACTCTGTATTTAATTGATTTTTATCCTCTTATTTAACCATTAGATGAGTCAAAAAGGCAAAAAGAACAAAAAGAAAGGGAGAGTAAGTCACAAGATTCCCACACAAATATTGGACTTTCAAAAGGCAAAATCAAAAGAAAAAAAAATGTATTTAGGTTCATTTGACAGAAAAAGAAGAACATAATAAAAAAACCCTATAATTAAGTCTTGTCCAAATCAGATTTGGAATTATCATAATATATAGCAACCTCAACTCAAGTTGTAAAACCACAAACGCAACAAATTTACTGAACTGACATGAAAAAGAGTGGCAACCTGGAAATTTCAACCTTTTCTCAGGGTAAGGATTTGAACCCTGGCACACTCCCATACAATACAAGTATAAACTCTCACACTCTGTTTCTCAACACACCCCAAGAATCACTCACTCTCTCTATGTCTATGACATCCATGAAAGAGCCACCTCTCTCTCGTCGCAAAAGGCCCACTTCTCAGCCCAAGAAGCTCAAGCTGGTGTGCAGCTTCAATGGCGCCTTCCAGCCTAGACCACCTTCCGGGAAGCTCCGGTACGTCGGTGGCGAAGCCAGAATTGTATCCGTTGACCGAAACATCGGGTTCTCAAAGCTCCGATCAAAGATTTTGGATCTTTGCCCCAATATTAATCCCTCGTTTACCCTCAAATACCAGCTTCCCGGTTCGGGCTCCGACTCCGAAACCTCCCCTCTCGTCCTCATCGTCTCCGACGACGACGTTCGGTGCATGATCGACGAGTACGACAAGCTCGAGCTCGACGGTAAGTCCGCGAGGCTCTGGGTCTTTGTTTGTAGCAATGGCAACGATAATCTTAATGTTCAAGTTAATTGCGTGAAAGGAGTCAAATTCAGTGATGGGTTTGAGTCCGAGAGCCCAAATATTGAGACCCATCATTTGGGCGGGGCTCCGATAGATAATAAGGTGGCGGTTAAAAACCCAGGGGCTGTACGGTATGGTGATGAGTCGCTGAGGAAGATGGTGTTGAAACAGCAATTGCTAGCAAAGCAATCGGCTTTAGGCCGTGGTTTTGGTGTTAATGAGAGTGATATGGAAATGGGTTGCTTTGGCGAGAGCCAAAAGTGTGCTTCATATGAACGTCCGCCTATAGATTTAGGCCCTGAACAGCAAGTCTCGATCAACAGAGACTTGTTGGCTAACAGAGTAGGGAGTAACTGGGGTAATAATCAAGTGCAGTTTTCAGTGTCTCGGTCCAGTCTATTGAATCCCAGATATGGGAATTTGCATGTTGAAACAGATAGTTCTGGGCAGTGTTGTTCGGCGAGGTCGGGTCAGGTTTTCTGTAATGGGGTTGGCATGTATAGTCAGTCAGTCCCTGCAACACAGTGTTCGAAACCAATGAATTGTTCTTCGGGTATGAAACCAACTTGTAATTGTTGTAATGCTAAGAAGGATTTGGGAAACTCTGGAGTGGCTGGGATTAGCTATCTGAACAGAGAGAACGTTAAGCCTTGGGAAGCCAATTGTTATTCAGTGAAGGATCAATTGAGTTGTCATTATAGTGGTGATGCTTTGGCTGGAACTGTGTATCCTGTCAAGTCTTCTTATGCTGGAGATAAGGTGTGTGGTGGCTTTAATAGCAGCATCCGTAACCATAGATTCGGTGTGAATGATTCTAGAATTCAGCGGTGTTATCAATACCATGTTCGGAATCATCATCGGAACAACATAGTTGAAATGGGGAACAACAGAACAAAGCAGGGGATTTCAGTACGGAAATGCTACCCCGGGCTCAGGCCAAATTCGAACATTGCAAAGCAGGGGCAGCCTATGAGAGCTCACAATCTAAATTCATGGAAGCATTGTTATGGTTTTTCTGAGCAAACAATGGAAGAAAGGGTGAGGATGATGGATTCTAATTCAGTGAAAGACAGTTACTTGATGGATGTCCTACGTGGTAACGAGAAACCGAGTAAATGGGGTGGCCCTGCACTTTCACAGCATAGGACTCCAAGTCCTGAGGAATCCCTTTTAGGTTGTTATGGTGCATTTACTGGTGTGGTTGATCAATTGCTCTTGAATCCTGATGCCACTGAGAGTTCATGCCCATCTGTGAGGAGAATGGACATTCTGGAAGATCTCTTGACTGGTTCTGACTTTGGGAACTGTGAAGGTCCATATCGGACTTCGTATGAAAATTTTGATGCAGTGCCTGTCAATTGTGACCTTGAAAAGGAGGTGCGCCAGATGGACTCTCAGAAGGTTGCCGACACCTCTGGCTTACCCAGTGAAGTGGGACGTGGCGTTGGAATCAGATTGGAAGGTGATAGCAAGTTGCCTAATGGAGAAGCAGTCATCAACTCTGTAATCAATTGTGAAAACGGCACTAATGGTTCATATAGCGGAGTAACATCTTCAGTGAGTATTTCTTTGCACAACCTTTCGCTGTCATCATCCAAAGAAGCAGTTGCTCCTCAGCTCTCTTCTCATGCTAGCAGTGTTGTGTCTTCTGATGTCTTGCTAAAACCTCAATCAAAGCCTATAGATCTCATGGATGAAGGACAAGTTACCTCAGGCCATCTAGTTGATGGATCAAATGGAGTTGCATCTAATCTTCTCTCCCAGAATTCTGCTAAAAAAGAAGAATTGATGGAAAGGTAGTTACTTGGAAACATTTTATCTCATTTACCTCCAACATATAAGAAATCAGAAAAGAAAAAGAAACATCTATTTTAGTTTTTTATTAGCTTTACTATTTGACTATTAGTGGTAAAATTTCCTCAGCTTTGACTTATGATTCTGATTTCTTAGGCCAACAATGGAGAAAGTCTTGAATGCTTTAAAGTAATTGGTGGAAACTCCAGTGATCCGGCTGCGTTTTATACTCATCTGGCCAGTCGAGAGCTGCAGGTAACTTTTGAACATGCACAATTTCTGCTTTATAAGCATATGGAGGGTGAATGGAATGTATAGATTGAACGTTTGTTTGCACCTTGTTATGCAGACTATAAAAAATTCTGACCTTGAGTTCATAAAAGAACTTGGTTCGGGAACATACGGAACTGTTTACTATGGAAAGTGGAAGGGGTCTGATGTTGCTATAAAAAAGATTAAGCCCAGTTGCTTTACTGAAGGCACAGTGAAGGAGGATCGATTGGTAATTATTTCATTCCCACGACAATCCCATTATAATAATTTATTTATTTTTTCTGTTCTTCCCCTTTCACGAATAAAAAAGTTATCTTGTTTTTATGCATGCATTGCATGGAGTAGAAAGATAGAAAGTGAGGAGAGGAAAACATCTGATACATTATTTATCTCAATACTATAGTTAATGCATATACCTGCATGCTATCTCATGTGTTAACTCTTTCTGTTTATTTCTGCAGCTTGCTGACTTTTGGAAGGAAGCTCACATACTAGGCCAGCTTCACCACCCAAATATTGTGGCATTCTATGGTGTAGTGTCGGATGGACCAGTGATAAATTTGGCAACAGTGACAGAGTACATGGTGAATGGCTCTCTAAAACAAGTTTTGCAAAAAAAAGATCGGTAAGATAGTTTTATAGCATAATATAAGGTTCTTTCATCTTCTTTTTCTTTTTTGGGAGCCAAAATCTAGCATAAATGTATTTTTATTGGCAAAGCAATCCAAGGATTTGATCATTGGAGTAATATGACTGTGGTTTCTCAATCTTTAATATTGGCTCATTGGAGTAATATGACTCTGGTTTCTCAATCTTTAATATTGGCCTGGAGATAATCTAGAACAAATTCCCTCTAATTGTGATTGAAAGCCTTGCATCCTAATCTAAAGATCATGAACTGTATGCTGTCATTCAAATGTGGCACTGATTACCAGTTTCTCTTCTTATACAACTACAATTCTAAAATTGTGGTGCATATTCCCCTCTCCCTTTTCCTCATACATTCGCATTGACCATGCAATGAATAGGTAGCGATGCAGTAGAATCATTTTCTCATGTTGCATTTCTGATTCACAGAACTATTGATCGTCGAAAGAGGCTGATTATAGCAATGGATGCTGCTTTTGGTATGGAATATCTTCATGAGAAGAGCATTGTCCATTTTGATTTGAAATCACATAACTTTCTCGTGAATATGAGGGACCCTCAGCGCCCAGTGTGTAAGGTATGCAGCCTGGGAAGCGTTTTTGGTAGTTTTTTTAAGAATTTCTTCTACCTTTATTCTTATTATTGATGATTGATCCATGACGATTAGGAAGAATACTATTGCCTCCATATATTTCTGTTTTCTTTCCCCTTGTAAATTTGAAATATCAACTTAATGTATTCAGATTGGTGATCTGGGTTTATCAAAAATCAAGCAGAGGACACTTGTTTCTGGTGGAGTGCGAGGTACCATACCATGGATGGCTCCAGAACTTTTGAACAGCAAGAACAATTTGGTGACAGAGAAGGTAAAGGATGGTCGTTTTTCAAATGCTCAATTATGTTTATGTTTTAATTTTTTTTGTCAATCACATTACGGATATTCGATGATTTCTTTGATACTTTATATGTAGGTTGATGTGTACTCATTTGGAATTGTGATGTGGGAACTCTTGACTGGGGAGGAACCCTATGCAAACTTGCGCTCAAAGGAACTAATAGGTAAGCATAAGTTAATCTTACCAAAAAGAAAAGAAAGAATAGAAGTTCTACTACTAGCTTGTTTTCTTGTTTATGGATTATCAAAGTTTGTTTACAACATTTTCTTGTGATGTTTTCAGCTGGTATAATCAAAGGCAGTCTCCGACCTGAAATCCCAAGCTGGTGCGATCCATTGTGGAGATCATTGATGGAGAGGTGCTGGTCATCTGATCCTGACTCTCGGCCACCCTTCTCAGAAATTGCAAAGGAGCTACGTGCCATGTCAGCTGCCATGAACATCAAATGACAATATTGAAGCTGACCTTGGACGCTGAACTATGAAATATGTCCTGTAAATACGCTGGCACTACCAGGAAGTGCGCATGCTGAGACAAGGTTAAGTTTTGCCGTCCACTGTCTTGTGCAACCTAAAGAAAATCTTGCAGTAGGGTTAGCCAAGCTGGATGTCATTTTTGCAATCACCAGTATGTAATAGGCTAGTAGGTAGCATATAGTAGGCAGAGGCTGAAGTTCGTTAAAGAAAGTTCTTCAGTAGTTGGATGGTCCTGAAAGTTTGTCTAGTCTTTAAAGAACAGGGCATGACCTTGATTGTTATGGCTTGCAATGGTCATGGCCTTGCACCGTTGCATAGAATATAGATACTGTATAGAACATATACCTAAATTTTTTTCTTTTTCCCACTTAAGATGTGAATTGGGATGGCAAAATGTGATTTCTATATGGTGGAGAGGGATGTTGCAATGAATCTAAACCAATGGATTTGAAAAGGATACTTATTGGACATTGAATTATCAAATGCAGGTTCCACTGGGGTCCTGCATGTGCATTGGAAGGTCCGTGTACATGTCTTAGTTTTCCTTGCCGTTTGTGCTTGTGCCCCTCCCCTGAAAAACGCCTCAAAATTGCACAAAACCTCGCTGCCCTGTCAGTTTTCCTACCTACCTAATGCATGCAACCATCAATGAGCTTTCATATGTCAATCCTTCTATAATCATTATTATTCTGTCAAGTGCTAAGAGTGTTGCATTGCAGGGCCTTGTGACTCTAGTGGGTAAAAACATTTATTCTTGCACTCTATGATTTTCATTTAAAAGAAAAGAAAAGAGGAAGTTGGATTCGTTCTCTCCCAATTCCTGCATTTATAATTTCACAACTGAGGTCTTTCGGAAGCATATTTTTTCTTATTAGGAACTTTTTAAAGTGGCTTAAATGGAAAGAATCAAAGATCATAAGTTTCCTTATAATTATTAATTTATCATTCAATTATATCTTTATTCTTCACTTCAACAATACAACAAATTCTCAATAAGATTTTACTCTAGTCAATTGGGTCTAGCCCAGTGACAAATGGCATTGACTTACTGACCAATGATTTTAGGTTCGAACCTTCATGACACTTTGATAATATGTGTGTGTGAGAAACTTCCATTTCCTTCGTAGTTTAGACTATCACTTATATTCCAATTTCTCTTATTATTTTACTCTAAAACCTTGTTTAACAAAGTGAAAATTGAACTACACTAAACCTATTAGGCCACTTCCAGCAGCCCCCGAGGGCTCGGGCTGGGGGGCGGGCAAGAGCCCAAATGCAAGTTCTAGCAACAAAGGCTGGCCCGGACAAGGTGGGGTCCACGAGCCTAGGTTGGCCCGAAGGCAGGAGGAGCCCGAGCTCCAGCCCGAAGGTGCGTTGACGTCAGCGTGACATCAGCAGGCGCAAATCAATTTTTTTTTTCTTTCCGCTGCCACATGGCGCAACCTGGTCCTTCCAATTTCCGATTTTTCATCCAATCCAATGGCCTGGAATTTTTCAAGACAAAAAATTATGAAAAAAATCGTAAATTTTTTTTTTAAAATCCCAAAAAATATTGAATTTTTTTCTATAAATACCAATCCATACTCTTCACTTTTAACAACAAATTCACTTTCTACTCAATAATTTTTTCATTCCAACTCGAAATTTTTTTCACATTCAAGTTTAATTTTTCTCTATCAAAGAAACTATTAAATAAAATTCCTTTTTATTCAAAACATTCCATTCATAAAAAAAACTAACTACAACCAAAGCATTAAATATATTAAAACAAACAAACCACAACCTCATTCACCGTCATTATCATAAAATCTCATCCGAAAATATTGTCAAAATTAATTGTTTAGGTAAACAAATTTATGAAGAAAAAAAAAATTGAATAGTACCCCCCTTTGCCATGGCAACTGCTGGAAGTGCAACTTATTTTTTGCAATAGCAGACACTATTTTCGTGAATAGTGTCAGCCCTAGCTCCCCCTTGCCATGGCAAGATTCCCACTGCTGGAAGTGCCCTTAATCGGGAGACTTTGGAAAAAGCAAAAGGAAAGAGAATTTTTTTAAAAGAAGCCAAAATGGACAAAATTGCCCTTATTTATTTTTGGATTTCCTAAGGAATCCTTTACATTTGCATATCTTTGATTTGAAAATTGAGAGATTTTTCTGTCTTTTTTGAAAAAGCTTTGGCTTTTTCCAAAAGTGAAAGTTTTTTTATGGCTAAAACATAAATTTACTATTAGGGTATTTGATTAGTTTCTTATTATAAACTCGTCATAGTATTATTGGTTGAATTATTTTCTTCATGAAAAAGAAAAAGGATCTCGACTCTATACATAGAGGAGGGCTTTTTAATTTTATTTTATATTTTCATCTTTGTAAGTTCTTAAGAGTGATCACACTATCATACCCCCTCCTACGAATATCTATGAGATATAATGGTGATTCATTAATTCAAGGGATTAAAGATCAAGTTGAAGAGGACCAAGATTGGCTTCGAAAACACTAAAAGAAGGTATGAACACTAACCCTAATTTCTCAATTAGATTACATCTTATAACTTAGCAAATTTTAAAGATTATAGTTTGTTTTCAAGGAAATTTCAAAAGTTTTCGTTGCATCAAAGCTCTGTTATTCTTCACCCAAAAAAAAAAAAAAAAACTATGTTCTTCAAAACGTAACCATTAGTCCCAATATCAAGAATATCAATTTTAATTTAAAAGGACCACTAAATTCAAGTTAATGGAAATAGTTGTACACCAAGAATCAACATTATATTCTTCTTTATAAAAGGTGAAATTGGACACAAAACTATGTATGCATAGGCGAATGCTTTTAACGGCTTAAACTATAATACAGTCATTCTATGACATATTTACTTATCTGTAATCGGAATTAACATAAAGAGTTGAATTTCGATTGCGTGATGTCGTGTTTATGGGCTCAATTTTATGATGAGCTAATTTGTTAAGCCCACGCCCAATTTTTTAAAATAATAGCCTTTAATTACAATACTTGATAAGAGCGTATCATCAGCGCCCTTGAAGCAGCACTGCCTCCAAATACAACAAAACTGCGCCGAGTTCAATAATCATTCAAACTTTTGAAGAGCAATAAAAAACAATCAATTTATAAAAAATAAAAATAAAAACGCCACGTCGAGGAGATGAGCGAACGCGAGTGGTCCACGTCAGCTCACACCCAATAACACACCACCATGTCTTGTATATACAAATACATACATACAATACGAAAATGATGTATTATATTAGAATTAGAGTATATATACGCCCTCTCGGTTCCCACTCGCATTTCTTTTCTCTCTCGCGGTAGCTGCTGCTGAATCAGTTACCCTAGAAAGGCTGCTTCTTCAGCGCTATCTCTCTCCCTCTCTCTCTTAGGGCTCTGAGCAATCAGCTGCTTAATAAGGCTTCTAGAGTCTCTGCCGAGTCAAATTCAATTGAATCGGTATTTCAAGTTGGGGTTTTGTTTTTCCCAATTTCAATCTGGTAATTTTTCTAATCCTGACCTAATTTCAGGTCCGATTTTAGCTGGATCTGAACGCTTTGGGGTGCTTATCTCGGTACATGTTTTCTCGGCTGGGTTTCGGTGCTCCGTGTTTATTCTAGTTAAGGTATTTTTGTTAAATAATTTTATTATTATTATTATTATTATTGGGACCTTTGGAGGTGGATAGGTTTGGGAAACGGTGTTTTAATCCCTGGAATTTGGAGTCGAGCTGGTGTGTTAGCTCAATATTCGCGGAAATTGAACTTTTAGGCTTTTCTATTTGTTATGTAGAAGCTGTGAAATTGGCATTGTTTTTGCTTTATATGATGACTTTCAATGATGAGAAAGTAAGGGTGTTTTGTTGCTTCATTATTCATGTTTGGGCTGATTGTTTTTTTTAATGGTGCGTTGGGTTGTTTTGATTGGTATCGAGATATACCCATCCGTGGTTGGACCGTAACTATGAGTTGTTCAATATCACACCTGAGGTTTTCAATCTGTAATCAACATACAGAGTTTCAATCCTTGTTTTTATCCAATTATACTACACTTGAGGTTCAGGAAACAAAAAGAAGAGCTGGAAATTACTTATGTTGATTCCATAAATGAAAAAAATGGCCAGTTTTGTAGTTATGCCATTGCGGGAGGTGCATCCCAATTTTAAGTGTGATTTCTAGTTGTCAAAGTAGGAGAAGTATATTGATTTAGTGGTTATCTTTGTGTTGTGAGTTTTTAAATTGTTTTTAAAATATAGTTAATTTCTTTAATGGCAGTGTTTAGAATCTTTGTTTACAGGTATTCTTGAGGCTTGTGCATGACATTACAGTTTCTATACTCATAGTAATATTTACCAACTCATTGTTTAATAGGATATTCCCAATGTGTTTCTTTTGTGGCCTCTGCGATTTCGGAAACTTGTTTGTTCATATGCCTTTAATCATGGTGGTGATGGCTTAAGTTCGTGGATGGACTTGAGAATTTATTTGCTTGTTGAATTTGTGCTTGATATTTTTTTAATCTTCGTTATTGTTGTGGTATTCACTCAAGCTCAACATTATCTTTAATCTTTAAATCAGAATGTTGTTCTAATACTAATGTTAATTTGGTCTTTTTTAGTTTCAATAATTTTGCTACTATCACTTGGAGAGAGGGTGAAGTATCGTTGAGAGCACAAAATGCCCAAGGATAGAAGGGGCCGATCTGTGTCTCGTGATAGGTATAGAGCATCTCCTTATCCATGCAGCTCCAGTCATACAAGGCGGCCGCCACCCAAAATTCCTTCAGAAACTGAGGAAAATGTGAAAGAATGGGAAGACACCAGGTGCCCTGTTTGCTTGGAGCATCCACACAATGCAGTTTTACTCATATGTTCATCCTATGAGAAGGGGTGCCGCCCTTACATGTGTGACACAAGCTACCGCCATTCAAACTGTCTAGACCAGTACTGCAAGTCATTTTCAGCAGAAACCTCACCAACTGTGCCACCAGAAGGAGAAAATCAGATTTTAGATACTCAGTCATCTCCAGCTGAAACTCTTGAATCAACAATTACTCATGTGCAAAATGGTAGAATTGAGGAAGAGCCCCCCACCATGAATCCCATAGCCTGTGAGCATGAGGCACAGCCAAAGCTTTTGTGCCCCCTCTGCCGCGGGGAGATAAAAGATTGGATAATCGTGGAGCCTGCTCGTTGTTTCATGAATGCAAAATCAAGAAATTGTTCTTGCGAGACATGTAGTTTTATTGGAACCTATGCAGATCTTAGGAAGCATGCTAGGCTGGAGCACCCACAAGCACGCCCATCAGAGGCAGACCCAGAGCGACAGCGTACCTGGAGGAGTTTGGAACGACAGAGGGATTTTGGTGACCTGCTCAGCACACTCCAATCTTCAATTGGAGAGGATAGGGGTGATGATAGCAGTTTGCCAGTTGATGATGGGGGTTGGTTAACTGTAGTCTTTCTAGTTCGAGTAATTCAACCTGGGGCCAGTTCAAGGAGCAGCACTTGGTCTGGTCCCAGAAGAACCAGAGCACAAGTTAGAATGAGAGGGAGAGCTACCACACTTTGGGGGGAGAGCTATGATGGCGAAGCTGCATCTGGTTCTAGAGAAGAGGATAATGATTCTTCAGATGGCAGCACAGGTTCTAGGAGGCGCAGCGCGCGCCTTCGGCGACGGACAACACCAGACAACCAGCCATGATTGCATATGTATGAAGAGTAAGTTTGCTCCAATTCTGTATTCAGGAGCTGTCAGTGGCGTACTGATTGTCGAAATTCTGATTTAAAGAAATGTATGTGATTTAGCGAATGAAATGGAAGCTCGTTTCCTTCTACCCTGGAGCCTGTTCTACTGAGTTGTGGAGCAGTGTCGCTTGGTATGGTAATGCTGATAAATGTCAGGCTGAGAGTGAAGTCCTGAAAAAAAACTTCAAACCAGTTTATATATATTTATTTCACGGTCTTCCCCAATTTACCTCTTTGTGTTGATGAACACATTGAATTCGTCAGTTTGCGTTATTTCACAAGTTCGATTAGAAGGGCTTTTGCCAAGTCTGTCAGCTTTTTGCAGAGCATTATTGCCTAGCCGGGAATTGAAGAAATAAATATACCCGCTTCATCGCTTCGATTGTTGCAGAACATTATTTCCTAACTCAAATAAATATTAGCCTAAATAGACAAACAAAGCAACCAATTGGAACTTCGAAGTTGACAATATAAGGAACTCAGTATCGCTGAACCGGCGCCGGTTTTTCCATTTTCCCCGCTCTTATTGTAACAAAATGTCGTGTTACGGTCAAAGACCATAGTGCGACTCCTGACTCACACGTGAATAATCTTGAGCAAAGGAATTTCTCACGAGAAGGGTTCCAAAATTGCGCGTTATGTCTCAGACCTCCGCCCGAAATTCACAATCCGTCAATGACAGCCAAGAGTTTTCAAAATACAACCTGGTCCAAATTTAAAAAAGAAAAGAAGAAAATAAAAGAAAGAAAGAAACTCGACCCATGTCTTGCCACTTTTGATTTTATTTTTTATTTTTGTATTTTAATTTATTCCTCCAAAGTCTCAAAGCTTTCATCTTTTTCCGCTCTGGCCGGAAACGGATCTCCGAACTGAAGGCTCTTGTTATTCTCTCTCTCCCTCTCGCTTTCTCTCTTCTCCGATGGACTGAGAAGGGAATAAAAGCAAAGTTGAAATCTTGGGGTTGTTTTGGAATTTCGAAAAGAATTGGGGTAAAATGGGGGACGAGAGCACCTCCAACTCGGTCTCTCAACTTGGCGGGATTGATGGGAACAAAAGCCATGAGACCCAGGTGGTGTTGAACGTCTACGACCTCACCCCTCTCAACAATTACACCGTTTGGTTCGGGCTCGGAATCTTTCACTCTGGTATTGAAGGTGAGGATTCTTTCCTTTTTATTCTTTCTTTCGTTCTGCTATGTGTTCAGGCGATCTGGGTACGGTTGCATTGTGTTATATGCTGTGCTTTCTTTTTTCTTTTTAGTTACTTTGTCGATTCGTTTCTTTCCTTTTCTGGGCATTCCATATATTTTGGATTGGATTGTATATATTTATTCTAAAGATTGGCAATTTCAAGCTTAAATGGATACGAAGGATGTGGGATTTGTGGGCTTGCTTATTTTCTGTTTTCTGTTTTGAAGTTTATGTTTTTGTTTATGTATATGGTGTTTAAAGCTGGTAGGTCTACATCTGGTTATGTTTCACTGATTTCGGACCCAAAAATGAATTAAGAATGTAGTTATTGAAAAGGTATGAATGTGCTTGCATCTAATGCTAAGTTATTATTGTACTACGTCATATAGTAGTTAGAAGTAGTTAGATATGTAGCAGCAAGAATTGAAAATGATATTGGGATCTGGTCTAGACTCATGTCGTTCTATACCATTTTGTTTGCAGTTATGCTGATAGTTTTACAAAGTGCATTAAATTTGCCATATGCTTTTTTTTATTTGTTTACGTTTGGTTATGAAGGAAAAGATCTGCCAATTGGAAAGTACCGGATATGTGTGTATCACTGTATTGAGAGCTCTCGATGTGGGAGATGATTTTCTGGTTGATTAACTAAAAGTTGCTGACTTTGAAGAAATAACAATTTCTCGTGATATAATGTTATTATAAGCTTTTTTGAGAGTATACAAAACAAACTGAAATCCTCTTTTCTGAAAATTGCTCTGACTGATCACTGACTTCTTTTAATTCTCCTTATTTCCTTTATTAAAAAGGAGAAGAATCTGTTTAACAACATCATCTTTCTCTTGTATGTAACAGTCCATGGCAAAGAGTATGGTTTCGGAGCCCATGACTTCCCAGTCAGTGGAGTTTTTGAAGTGGAACCAAGGAGCTGCCCAGGTTTTATTTACCGGTGTTCTGTTTCACTTGGCCGCATAAATATGCATGCCTCTGAATTTCGGACATTTATTGAGAATGTTGCTTCAGAGTATCATGGGGATACCTATCACCTCATCTCCAAGAATTGCAACCATTTTACGGATGACATGGCATGTAGGTTGACACAAAAACGGATTCCCGGATGGGTGAATCGGCTCGCTCGGCTAGGTAGAGAGAATATTTTCTACTGACTATTGTAGTACTCCTTTATTTCATTAGTGTTTGAGCTTTATTTACTTCACTGCTGCAGCCTTCTACTGAGGGTTTCAAGTGTTGAGGTCCATGAATATAATCTGAAAGCAATTATGTGTTTGCTGGAAATAAGATTACTCATCTCTGTTTGCATCATATTTGACTTGATTAATTCAGTAAGATATTATCTTTGAGACGACTATGATTACTTTACTTACACAGGAACAAGTTGCTTTATGTTTGTCCATGTAGGACTATAGGAATGCCTTTCAAAACTCCATCCTTCGTGATGGATTTTACTTTAGTGTGACTCCATGCATGAGGGTTTGGATTGCGATGCTTTGCTTTGTGTCTTCATCTTATGTCATATTCTGTGTAATATAACTGAGATGGCCTTTACTTCTCACGGGCATGATTTATTGCTTGAAACACTGTCGTAAGTCCATGTTTTGGTTGTAATTTCAGGTTCTTTGTGCAGTTGTCTTCTTCCTGAAAGCCTTCAAGTGACTACTGTTAAACAGATACCTGAATACCATCATGAGTCTGGTGATTATTCTCATTCTTGACTATTTTCAACTCGATATTAGAGTGTTTGTATTCTCTGTGTTGTCTATAGTTGTTATATCATTAACATTTGAAACCTGTTTTGTTGCTTTTCTGGGTGGTTGTGACCAGAAGAAGATGGTACCGAAACTCTATCAATCACCACCCCTCGTGTATCAGAGGAATTGGATGATGATCAAGAGAAGCGCCTGCTGTCACCATTGGCTGCAATGTCTCCGGTGGCTGGAAGTGGAGATGTGACTTTTGTTAAAGAGTTGGGCCCGTTGTTGTTATGGATGGTTTACTTGGTAGGGAAGTACCTGCTTCAGAAACAGAGCTGCCTGAACTGTATTCATTGTTGGTATGCAAAGTGTTACAAGCAATGCGATTTAAGTTTTGAATTATATCTTTCTAATATTTTTGGCCAAGGTTTTGCTTTTATTTTTTATTTTTTAAACCGAGGAATCGGAAAGTAGATAGTAGTTTGTGTATGACCTTATGATTTGTGCATGAAGGCTTTGAACGGTAGCTGTTTTTGCAAGTGGAAATGAATCCGTCTTTAATTTCTTATACAATCTTTACAGGAGGAAATAAATGTGACTTTAATGTCTTCAATAACCCCCCGGTTTTGTGTGTCAAGAGTATGGACGGTAGACAATTTTTGTCAAGCTCACACGTTAAGGGTCAAAGTATCAGCTCATGTCCAGCCAGCTTTATTGCAACTATGGACGTAGGCAATTTCAGTGAAAGAACTACCTTTTACTTTCATACGACATGTTCTTGATTCAAATAATGAATGTCGTTACTACATACGAATATGGATTTATCTAATGGCACCAGCCAAACAATAACAAGTCATAAAGGACAAAATAGGTCATACTGAGACCAAAACCATTTAAATTCTTGTTTCTTAACACATTCCCTTCAATTTCCTCCTCTTCCTTGATGTTGCTTGAGATTTCTCATGGGGTCATACTATGAAGAAGTCCCCTCAAGCCCCAATTTTGACGAAAGCCAAGCACAAACTTCATCCATCTCTTCAGGAACTGTATAATGACCAAGCCTGCATCCCCAAACAAAACATTCTTTTACTTCCTTGAACTAATAATTTATATGCAAAACTTTTAACACATAATGTCTAAATCACATACCCATTGTAGGCTTTGAAAGCCACATTCTGATAGCCAGTTGAACTCAAAGCCTGTGAAGATTTCTCACCAAACTTATAAGGAACCACATCATCACCTGCAATAAATCATATCAGTAAATATCTACAACAGAAAATCTGGTAAACCAGCTTACTTAGTACAGCAGAACCTACACCAGAAGAGGATGCTAGAGCCATGGATGCAACTCCTCTTCAATGATGACATATGCGAAAGGCAAATAAAACCAACAATATCTATGTATGAGAGGTAATCATGATTACCTTTTCCATGGCATAACAGAAGCGGCAAGGAGGCAGCACGCCTCGCAGCATCATCTACTTCTTCTAACTTCTTACTCAAGGTCCTGAAAAAGAATAGGACTTGTAACTATGGGCAGTTAATTAAACTGCTAAACAACATAGACGGGGTCCAGCTAAGATGGGGAGGAGAGTGTTAGAAATCAAACTTGGAACATGGAAGCCATCCGCTTAGTCCGACAACTGCACTCAGATTGCATGGGTATGGATTACCATTCCCGTATTTTCTTAGAGTAAAGCAAGTAGCAGAGTATAGGGCAGTAGCTGCACCCATACTAAACCCTCCAACTCCAAGTTTAACTGTAACAGAGAAAGCTTGACTTAATGACTTAATTATATCAAAATTCACCAACGGGTAAAAATATGCTTCAAAGTTCAAAAGTATAGGGTATTAGAACCATCCATAAACATAATTTTGTAGAAGAAGCGTCTAGCAAAGATTTTACTTTGACAAAAGCTACCCTTAATTTACAAGCTCATAAAAGAATCTTGGACCTGCAGAGAAGAGGGGAGGGGTATAATGATTTGAAGTTGTCCTTTCAAGATATCTCAATGATCAAGAGGAGCACTGAAATCTTTAAAGGCTTCTCTAAACATTCACAGAGACACATTTCAAACAGAGTATATCAACACCTTGAGAAATCATCAAATGCTAAAATCCAGAGAGAGGAACCTACTGTCATCAGGCTCTGTTGATAGCAAATTTGCAACATGCGCTGCAGAAGCATCCAAACCTTCTATATCATCTGGAGCATCTTCTGAAAGTTCTCCAACATCAAACCCTGTTTTAAATCACAAAAGTAATTAGGGTACTTGCGGTGACTTTCAATTCTATTATTCTATCAGCAAGATGATATTTTCTTTTTTCTGCGACTATCTATGAGGATGATGGTAATTAGATCAATTGCTTTTGCTTCAAACAAGATGCTGCTCGTAGATGATTAGATATTGCTGAACATACTTCATGTGGTGATACATTAAAGAAACAAAAAACTTACAAGCAGTGGAAGGAAAGCCACCAAACACTTTAATTGGTTGAGTAGGAGCGGTTGGACAAATCCATTTAATCTGAATCATTATTTTCACCATAAATTATGACTAAACCAATTATGAGAAAATTCAACTTCCAATAGTTCAAATGTAAAATATTCTTACATTTGGAAGAGGGAGGGTCTCCAAGAGCTGGGACCAGCTGCCAAAGAGAAATTTTTTAAGCTTAAATGCATATTAAAGAAAAATGGATAAATCTCGTATCAAAATATCACGTGATTCTCTAGAAGCAATTCAAAAATAGATTTTACTCCTCTTTGAAGCAGGAACTTAAAATAAAAGATAGTCACTTAAATGAAAAACTTCCTCAGTTTCATGATTATTGTGCAGGCCTCTAAATAAAACAGTAAAATAAGCAATGGGGACAAAGTAACACCTTGAACCATTGTCGCCAAGACCATGTAGCCAAACTACAGTGGCCTGGTGTTTGCCTTTAGGTCTGACTACATAGGTTCTTCCAAACTCAAATACCCTTCTAACAGTTCTACCACCTGAAATCAGGTTACAATCAAGTTTAATGAGACAGGATAGCAAATAAGATAACCAACAGAATCTCGTATATCTCCACACAAAAAACAACTAATCAACTGCTCAATACCGATATTGAAAACCCAGGCAAATTGATATGTATTAAGGAAAGCCCAAAATCCTCATCAAGAAATGGGAAGAATCAAACAAGCATCCTTAATCTTATAATATGAACAGGGTTGACCATTTTAAAACAACTCAAACCCAAAACGAAGGTTAGAGGTTAGAGTTCTAGAAAGGCCAGAAAATTGATACCCAAAATCCTGACCAAGAAAAATTGATGTACTAAAAGAGCATATCATTGGTGAAAAATAATTAGTCTTTTACCAAACCAAAATAACAACCTGATGGCCACCCCTATGTATGAGAACCCATTAACCAAACCTTTTTACCAAACTACATCAACATGAAGAAAAGGAAACAAACTAACCAGAACCCACAGATGAAGAGGTGAAGCTCATATTAGGCCCCCCAAATAAGATAGCACAGACCAAACTCCTACTGCAGCAATCGTACAGAGCACAGATCCTGCAGTGAAGAAACACACACACACAAAAATAAAAATAAAAATTTAAAAAAAAAATAAAAATCAGATTTATCATCTAAAAGCAGTTTATGGACTAATTAGAACTCTCATAGAGCATCACAGTGCCCACTAGAGGCCCTAGGTGATTTTGGCACCACAGGAAGGCTAGGTAGGTGACCAACTGTCTAGATTACCCAAGTGATCACATAGGTGCCATCCAAGATGAAACCTAACATATTGGTCACATTCTAAGTATCCACATCATGGGATAACTGACAGATACATAGGTGTCATCACCCTCTCGTATATAATATATCTCCATTTATAATGTGTCATGTGCAGAGATGCAAAATAACTACATGAGCTAAAAATCATTTTGTATCCTTTATCATTCAAAAACCATATCAGTTAAAGTTTTCTTCTTTGCAGCCACGTAAAACCACTCACTTCTTGAGCTTTGAAACTTCACATGATATCAAAACATATAAAGTACACCTAGTTAACATGTTGGAGCCACTTCAAGAGCTTTTGAGAGAAGAACTTAATTTGCTGATACCTCAAACAAGCTGGGGGACAAAATTACTTTGGCCATGCTAACCAAATGTAAGAGCATTTGAAAACGAGTGTGGCCAATATCTAACTACTTCCTAAACTCTGGCATCTAAAATTGAAGAAGTGAACAGCCGCAATCTAATAAGAAAACTAACACAAGCGCATGCAAACAATAGCAAATAAGGGCTTCCGCATGTTAGGGGTTTTGTCTTCCCAAATGTCAAACAGATACACATGAGCCAAAGGGTGCTTGAACACTCTTGTCAATCATTTGGGCTTCAATAACTAGGCAATTGGAGATACCCAGTTGTGCTCGACGCGTTTAACATTGTTCCCAAACACCCCATTAATCCAGCAAAAAGAGAAAAAACGAAGATCATTACAAGAAATTTCTAATCTTTAACACAATTCAAGCATACAAATCGAGACCTGCAAATTAAGAAAGAAAAAAGAGGCAATAACCGTTTATAATTGGTGGGTGGTTGGGTAGCAAGTACTGAAAAACTAAAGCTTGAAGGATATAAGCATAAAGATGGTAATTTTAAGATTATGTTAAGCAACTGGAACGTAATCAAACAAAATTGAGCATAAATCAGGAGTGGGTTTTAGGGTTTTACACCATTGCTACAGAGTACAAACCTCAATTAGCTGTGGACGCTGTCTCTCTTCCTCTCTCTCTCTCTCTCTCTCTCCCCTTCCAAATTTTAAGTTCGCATCATTTTATTTGTCGTTTTATTAGCTGTCGTTAGCCTTCGGAATTCGAATCGTCTACGAGAATGTCCAGTGCGTTTAAAATCTACAATAAAAGCTGAGTATTCTCATCCGTTCGATTGTAATCCTTGGAACTTTTAAGTATGGGTTCACTTGATAGCACCATAGATGTGTGCCACGTGTCCTACAAAGAGTGGAGGATTAAAATTCCAGTCTCAGTATATAAACACAAGACGCTTGAGATGAGAAGTTGCTTGCTGGACATTGGTCCCCTATTTCAGCGATTTTTTGCTTAAGCTGGTCCCACGATCTCATCTTGCCACCTACCAAACTTACCCTTCATAAATTTCCTTTTGTTTTTGGTTTTGGAAAAGAACAGCTCAACGTCAAGGCCAACTAATTTGTTTTTGGTTTTAATAATAAGATGCTTATACAAATCATCACTAGGCAAGCTAATATTCCATGGAGCTCATGGTCTCTTGCATAAGTTATTTGGTGACTTCTTGAGAATTCAATTCCGTGATTATTAAGCATGTTTACAAAGAAGCTAATATCGTTGTTGATCAGTTAGCTAAAAGAGGGCATGAGTATAAGAATTCATGTATTTTGTTTAGTAATTTCCCTATGAATGTTATCATACAATGAAGGCTAACCGCTTCATTCTTTTTCTGAATAACAGGAACAAAATGCACACATAATACAAGCAGAAGAAAGTTTACCATGAAAGTAAAAACAAAAATGGTAAGCTTAAAAGAACCCTACTTTTAAGTTTTTATATAAAATATAGCCATAAACCAACAAGCAGCTAATCAATCCTGTTGATGGAGCTATCTTGGGGATATCAAAGACATTGCATTTGCATATGAGCATGTTGATGTGGAGGCATCTTTGCTATCTACTCGTTTTGTTGCCAATGCAGCAGCAATCTTTGGCCTCTCATGACCATTTGCTGGCTCTTCATCCGTTGCCAAAAAATCAACCACCACCATATGTGTGTCAGGAGGCTCCTCCACTGTCACACGGCCTTCAAGCATATCAACCACATGAGACATGCTAGGCCTAAGCCTAGCCCTCTCTTGTATGCACCAGAGAGCTATGTGAACCAGTTTTTTAACCTCCCTTTCATCAATACCTCCACTTTCTATTAGCCTTTGATCAACAACTTCCATAAGCTTCCCTTCTCTCATTTTCTCACTCACAGTTTTGGGAAAATACTGCCGTTTCCTTTGAGACCTGTCATTCCCTTTTTCGACGAAGCTGATGTTTCTTCGGCCTCCGATCATCTCCAGCAGAACCATTCCATAACTATAGACATCAGATTTCTCTGAAATTCCATGCTCCAAGAGCCACTCAGGGGCTAAGTAACCTCTAGTGCCTCGGATCGTTATCATAACTTTACTCTCATCTTTTCCCATTAGCTTTGACAGACCAAAATCTGCCACAACTGCCCTGTAACTCTCATCCAAGAGTATATTCTCTGGCTTAACATCAAGGTGCAAAATCCTTGACCTGCAATCATGATGCAGATAAGAAAGTGCCTTAGCAACATCAACAGCAACCCTGTACCTTAAATCCCAAGACAAGCAACCCCCACGCCGGTTAGGCCTTTCCTTTCTAGAGAAAATCCAAGAATCCAATGATCCATTTGGGATGAAATCATAGACCAAGAAACGAGGTCCTGCAGGAACACAACAATAACCGAGAAGGCGCACAAGATTGACATGTTGCAGGCTAGCAATTGCTGCAACTTCTGATCTGAATTCCTTCTCGCGGCGCTCTTCAGCATCAAGCTTTTTGACTGCCACAGGAGTGCCATCACTAAGGATCCCTTTGTAAACAGAAGCAGAAGCCCCTTTGCCAAGCAATGCCTGAAAATGGTCTGTTGCATCCTCCAGCTCTTTGTACCTAAACTTGGTGGGAACTCCAGCAACTCTTCTAAGGAAACTGTACTCTATTCGCAGCTCACGGCCTTCTGATGCGTAATTTGATTCCATCAGCTTTTGCCTGCAATTGTAATGGTGTCTGATTATAAGCCATGCAAACACAGCAAGGATCACAGCAATACCTGCCCCACAAATGAGAAAGAAAGTAGGGGAAAGTTTGAGAGAGACACGAGCAACAATTATAAAGATGATGAGGGTGATGACCGATGATGCAGCTATTATGTTAGCTTTTTTGTCCTCCATCAGAGTCTCATTCTTGTTTTCAGATAAAGAGAGAGAGAGAGAGAGGCGAGGAAGCGTTCTCTCTTATAACATGATCCACTTTCTTTCTGTGCTGAACAAATCTACTTTTATGGTCTAATTTCCTAATTTAAATTATTTAAATCAGAGGTTAGAAGCGTGTCCATCCACAGATCAGCCGAGAATTGAAATATCGGACAGTGTTCTGTACCGATGGCCATGGGTTTTATATGGACCAAAGAGAAACAACCTGGAAGTCACCTCTAATTTATTGTCTGACTTTATACTTTTTTATATTGGAACCTCCACCCCTCCCTTTTCAGACATACACATCCTTATATTTAAGGCTTTTATCTGGTCAATTATTTGGAAATGTCTTGCAGAACAACAATAACAACCAAAAAAACCCTTCTGAAATCAAATAGCCACTCACATCTAAACCGATCCAGTTTCACAAATGAAAAGGAAAAGAAAAGAAAAAACTCATTATGTGACTTGATGAAACAGTCTTTTTTCTGTTTTTGTCTCTCTCTTGTAGTTAATAGTTTTTGCTGATGCATTATGATTCACTTGTAAGATCAGGAAGACACGGTATACAATCAGACCTAGTCATTGACCAAAAACAAATGTTGGCTTTAAATTCTTGACTCATTCAATCCCTTTAACTAAAGACAAGTGCTGTTGAGATAACATTTATATATGATTGTGGTGTTTTGGCCTTAATTGTACTCAAAACACAGTTTCCATGATATGCTTATTTGAGCACTGACAGAATTATATTATATTCCAATGCTTGACAAAACCAAAGATTAGTTTGACAATAGCAAGACTGCAAGACCGGGTCCTGCATATGAATAATTTATACTGATGAAGAAACCTAAAAACAGTGCGCGAGGGAGAACAGGCCATGCCGCTGATGCACCTAACCCCGGTATTAACGGGAGATTTCGACACAAAGCAACAATGTGCAATGCGCCAAAAATTCCCAACTATATGGATTCATGTGATCTTTTGCTTATCATAATAATAATATAAATATTTTGTAGGGTCCCTGTTTGTTTTGTGATTACAAAAGCACATAACCTTGTGGAGAAGAAAGGCCAAGGAGGGAAAGCAGAGAGTTTGAGTGAGGGAGAGAGTGATCACAACATACCTCTCACACAAACATAATGTTGTGTTTTGGTTTTCTCTCAATTACGTTGGATGGAATCAAACCCTTTACAACGTTGCGTTTTTATTAGAAGAAAATGTCTATTGAAGAGTCAAAAACTTGAATATAAATCCATCATCCATTGCAAAGAATTCAATGTACATGGTAGAATAAGGAGATATAATTTTACAGAAATGTTATTGCTTGTTTCTGTTTTTGTCATAAGAACAATGAGTAGGCAATTGATTGAGCGTGATAAAGTTGTGTGTAAGAAAGAGGTTGTCTTATTTTTTTTATCATAATTATTCTGATTTATTAAGGTTGTCTTATTTTTTAATAATAATTGAAGTTTTCTAAGTAAATAGTGTGGGTGTAAAAGAGAGAAAATTTATCCGACCACCAAAAGAAAAATAAAAAAGCTTTATACTTTATAGTTGTTTATTATTATTAAGAAAGTAAGTTACCAAAAAAAAAATTATTAAGAAAGTGCAAGTTGCAAGTTTGCATAGTGCAGACAGAGGAGGCAGGGCCCATGGCTAAATCGACGTTGCCCTAAAACCCAAAGCCTCCCTCCTCTCTGTCTTTCAGTTTTTCGTCTCTGAGACTGGGAGAAGAGAGCATTGACTGATAACTACTTACGATACCTGCATAACTACATGGGGAGCTACACAAACGCTGTCGTTAGAGACCAAAGCGGCACCAGCAATGGCGGAGACGGCGGCGTGGCGGTGGACAAAGGCGTCGACTTCGCCAACTACTTCTGCACCTACGCCTTTCTTTACCACCAGAAGGAGATGCTCTCCGATCGAGTTCGCATGGACGCTTACTACAACGCCGTTTTCAAGAACAAGCACCACTTCAATGGCAAGGTATAGCTCATAAGTCATAATACTCTTTTGTCCTCTGGTCGTTTCGTTACTCAAATAGCTCCAATAACCAAAAAGTTCTAACCTTTACTGAAAAAGCTTCACCTTTTACTTATCTTTAGACTAATGCTTATTGGGAATATGAGAATTTTGTTATAGTATCGAAAATTTGGGATTAATTTGGTTAATTTCTTGGAGAAGGCTGTGTTGGATGTGGGAGCGGGGAGTGGCATTCTCGCAATTTGGTCGGCACAAGCCGGAGCGAGGAAGGTTTATGCTGTTGAAGCGACTTCCATGGCAGAACATGCACGTGCGGTTGTGAAAGCAAATAAGCTTCAAGACGTGGTTGAAGTGATTGAGGGCTCCATGGAGGATGTTGTTCTGCCAGAGAAAGGTTTGGCATTGCTCGAATTTGACAAATTTGGTTTTAAAATGTTGTTTCCATTAGTGTCATGCTTATGTGATTCTGCATTGTTGCACAGTGGATGTGATTATTTCTGAGTGGATGGGGTACTTCCTACTGCGTGAATCGATGTTTGATTCAGTAATATGTGCACGTGACCGGTGGTTGAAGCCAACCGGAGTCATGTAAGTGTTCCTTGGCATTTACATGTTGACAGTTTTGGTGCTATATGTAGAAGCAGTAAATCGGTAGTGTCGCATACACACACTTTTATGATTGTTTCCTTGTTTCTAAAGTTTAAAAGTTTTTTGAATATCTGGTGTACAGAAAACCATCTCGATTTTTCTGAACACAACACTTGAATCTGTTTTAAAACCATTTGAATGCAGCCCCCATATGACAAGATTATATGGGTACTTGTAGATGTAGTCAAGCTTTCATCTCTTCTTTGTCTTTTCTAAAACCAGGGCTTAAATTGTCTCTTCAAATTGTGTTTTCACCAATTCCTTATCACTTTGTTGTTGGTCCTTAGATTGAGTCCCGGAGTTTTCTTGTACTATGATGGGAATAATCAGTAAACTGTCTGTTGGAGAGAGGGAATTTTATCTTGAACCTGCTGCCACCACTTTTAGTCTGTTAATTAGGCAATCTTCAAATGGTTTACTGATCATTTTATATTGTAATTTGGAATTAATTTGTGGTTTCACAGGTATCCTAGCCATGCTTCTATGTGGGTGGCACCTATTAGGTCTGGATTGGGAGATCAAAAAAGTAATGATTATGAATCATCTATGGAAGATTGGTACCGTTTCACAGATCAGACAAAAAATTATTATGGCGTTGATATGAGTGTTCTAACAAAGCCTTTCTCTCAAGAGCAGAAGAAATACTATCTTCAGGTGATTTCTATGATTCTAACGAGTGTTGACTTTTATCTTTTTCTATTCATCAGTCAGTGGGTAGACTTGTATTTTATGTTGTACATTGTGGGACGGTTACTTATTATTATTATTTTTACTTTTTTTTTTTTTTTGTGTGGAAAGTCGCATCCATGTTGCCTGTGAATCCCCTCTGCCCCTCCCCCTTGAATTGTTTCCTTTGCTCCTTCCCCTGTGAAATGTTAAAATATCATATTTGTACAATATATGTTTTTCAATTTTTCGGTTAATCCATGCTCCTTCTGGTGTCCAATATCTTAAATGCATGCTATGGAATTTGCAGACGTCAATGTGGAACAACCTTCATCCACATCAAGTTATAGGGACAGCTGCTACAGTCAAGGAGATTGATTGTTTAACTGCCTCCGTCAGTGACATCCTCGAAATTAGATCGAACTTTTTGTCAACAGTTACTCTTCAGAACACAAGGCTCTGTGGGTTCGGGGGATGGTTTGATGTTCATTTTCGAGTAAGCTGATTAAACATCTCTTTTTGTTTTGGAGTAAAAGGACTCTTCAATATTTGCTCGCTCAATGTAACATGAAATTTATCCTGTTCTGGTATATCAGGGAAGAAAGGAAGATCCAGCTGAGAAGGAGATTGAGTTGACTACAGCACCTAGTGTAAATGATGGCACACACTGGGGCCAACAGGTTTATTCTGCCAAAAATCTTTTGCCTTTTACTTTTAATAATTGTCAAGAAATCAATGTGAGTCTTTGATTACAGCATCTAAGTTTCTTCCGTGTTTGTCTCCCTGTTTTATTGAACAGGTTTTCCTCTTGGACCCTCCAATTCGAGTCAGTGAAGGGGATAAACTGAATGCTTCTTTCTCAATGAACCGATCAAAGGAGAATCATAGATTGATGGAAGTTGAGTTCGGCTGTGAGATTAGACAGTATTCTGGCGAGTTACTTCCGCCTTTCAGAAATAGATATTTCATAGAATGACCTGAACAAGGATCCTTTCCACCAGCATACTTGTGAGACTGGGTTGTCAGATGTTATCAGTCTAACAAATCATATGTGCAAGTTTTGTGGGAGTTTTGCAACAGGCTTTGCAGCTGTTTTGCTATACTCGAATGTTCATTATGTTTTAATTTTGTGATATTTTGGAGTTAAGTTTGTCAATTTCATCAGAATAGGCCTTTATGTTGACCTTTAACTCCTTAGTAGTTTTGCAGTGTCATACTGGAGAGCATTTGAACCCTTTTTACCTCCTCTCCCTCCCTCCCTTAATTTTTTTTTTTTTTTTTGGGTTCTGTTTACAATGCAAAATGTATTATACACATTTTGGTAAATGTCTGATGAAATTTTCAAAACAAAATATTATGTCTGGGGTTGAGAAATGATGTGGTTGCTCTTCTTAGCTAATTATTATTTTTAGGTAACTGTTGGTCACAATTTACAAACAGTTGCATATACAGTTTCATCAGAATGGTATCTCTAGTTCATGAAAACTGGTATCGGATTTTGCAGCTCTGGTCATAATGACAGATCATTGAACCCTAACTTGATATGACTTTGACTCAACTGCAAGCAGATGAGCGCTCAAACTGAATAGTTCTAGTGTTCCTATCCATTAGTTGAAAATTGCTAAAAATAAGCAAGTGTGTTACGCATGACAGCCTGCATAAATCTCTATTCTTAGACTAAAATAAAGTAATTTGACTTTTTTCATCACATTACATGCACATGGTGACGTGAATGCCTTTAATTGCCCTGCAAGCTGTTCTTTAGGCCAAGTTGACTTCCTTCTTTGTATGTATTCTATGACCATTCAGGAAATCAGAACATTATAAGTTGATATTTAATTGTCAAACCATATGCTAAACCCCCCTGCATTTTTGGCTCTGCAAGCAAAGCTGTTATCCTCGATTTCCAGGCTTTCCTAAGTTCGCAAGCTCCATTAATATAGAGTATTGTTTTCCTCTTCCTCTCCTCCACTATAAGATCTCGTAGCACTTTGGCCTTCCCTTTTGTATATTCCTCATCATTTATCCGTTCTTCTTCTCCATCGTTTTCAACTCTCTGTTGGCTTCTTGTTCCCCAATAACCCCCGAAACCCAGAAGAATGCATCGATCATCAAGCACTTCTCGAGCCTCAGAAGAGTTCTTGGTGAACTTCTCACCAGCATCCCTGTCCCTGGCCTCATCTCCACCTCTAAAAACTTCAGCAGCTTCTGAAAACTTGCCTGTGTATAATGCAAATTCGGATCGTGCTACGAAAAAGGAAATTGCTCTGCTGCATAATAAATCGTCAGGAGAGAATTTCATTCACCTAATTCCCCTTGTCTTGGCTCTCTGCGGTTTAATACTTTGGATTTTCTCTCATCCAGCTAAACTGTAAATGTAATGATATGCACCCCATGTAACTTAAAATATGTCTTCTCTAATACACCATTCTTCCCTCTCTCTCGCAAGAGGGTCGATATTATCGCAATGTAATCACCATCACATTATATGATCACGAAAGAAAATGAGACAATCATATTTGCTTGCTTTGATTTCATGGGTTTTGTTTTGTCTTAGATTTATCTTACCAAACACTTCTTAACATTAACTAGCTCTTAGTCTAGTGGTTCGGAAAATTCGAAAGTATAATACAAGGCTAATTTGACTTTGGATGGGCTTGGACCAAGCCCAACATGTGCCCAACTATCTCTTCAATCTCTCAACCCACCCCCAATGCTTGCAAGGGTGTTCTTGCCATTTTCTCACCTGAGGCAATAATAGCAAGGAATGCTGTGGAAATCATGCTGTAAGTACATTGCAGGATGCCCTATTCATGCCTGCCATACATAAAGAATGAAAGAAAAAAAATTGAAACAGAAAGGTGACAGAAAAATGAAATTAAAAACAATTTTGTGTTGGTTCAACAGCTTTCAGTGTGGTTCATATGGCTCATTTTGTGTGTGTGTGTGCGTTATATATATCAAGAGTCTTTTGCTTCCAAGCAACAAATGAATATATCATCGCATATTAGGATATGATTAGGAGGCTGGCAAAAAGCGACATTCCAACTTTTATTAAAGAAATAAAGGATCCAACAAGATTTGGCACTTTATTTATGTATTAATTTTTTAAGGAAAACAAATTATTGACTTGATTATCTGATATGGCGTACAACATTAAAATTTGGAAATTCTTCATCCGCGCTGTTCCTAATATCCAAGTCAACATTACAACTCTAGTTATAAGACAAAGTTAAGTAACCATGTACATATTTTTGGTCCTATGTTAATGTCGTGTCACGTATTGCCACCCTTTATTGAATTGCAGCGGCACAGATTAGGGGGGGCAATGAAAATAAGATTAAATTGAGGGGCATACGTATAAGGTGTGAATTCTATTTAAAAGATACAAACAAGAAGTAAGTACAACTAATCTAATCTTGTCATATATGCTCTCTCTCTCTCTCTCTCTCTCTCTCCTAAGTGGGGGGCCAGAGGGCTTTGTTTTCCCAGTAGCTATCTATCCGAATTGCCAAATATGTGGTTTAGCGTGGGAAAAAAAAAAAGAAAAAAAAGAAAAAAAAAAGGATCCTCTTTTTCAAATTTAGAATGTAATGCGAGTACCATTAATGATAAAAACGACAATTCGTTGATGAATGAAGATAATTAGGCAAATGTCACTACACAGTCACATGAGCACATTCAATTGGATAACAAACACGTCACCATCAATTTAGGCACCCTTAAATATCTCTCAACCGGTTTATTAGGAAGTAAAATTACACATTTTTGGATCTAAATTGCTCCCATAATACTTTTATATAAAATAAAATAAAAAACCAAATTGGTAGCTTTTGATGTTTTGTTTATGTGTGAAGCTTATAACATAATGTGGTTGTTGACATGTTCTTCAGAACTGGTCTCTAGTCAAGACCGGAAATTATCGTATGCATATGTTAAATTGTTAGCCACCACCATGTTCAATTCAAAGTAAGACAACTTGACCTACATATATATATATATATATCATATATTGATGGTCTTCTTCCTCAATTGGTCTCCAAGAAAAGAAAAACCCACGTGCCCAAAGAAGCTTTTCAACATTTTTTTGTTCAGAATTTTCATTAAGAAAATTTTATTTAGAATTGAACCTCCCAACAATATGGCATATGCTATATATGATCTACAACTCATGTTTCTTTTAAAAGGATATTTTCTAGTGCGAGGGTGATAATGTACTAAATTAGAACTCGAACCCATGACCCTTTTTAGGCGATTATTTACTCCAAACTATTACATTGGTGGATTCTTTAGAGTTGGTTTTCCTTTTTTATTTTATTTAAAATATAAGAAAAATAAAAGGAAAATAGAGAATTCATTCTCTATCGCTGCCTTTTTGGATGCTAAATTCGAAACATGACATTTTTTATTTATGAAAAAGTATTCATTTAAAGAAATTAGACAATCATAAATTCGATATCCAAGTGAATCTTTACAAAATTCCTTCAGATGGATAACCATTCATTCACCCATATCTCAATTTGGCATACAAGACACACAATTCCACAAGAGAAGACACGTGACAATCCAATAATAATTAGCTCGTGATAATGCAGTTAAATAATATTTATTCAGTAAACCGTGATAGTAAATAAAATAAAATTTCTGAAAATTGTAATTAGTGGTATTTATCGTCCCAATATTACAACAATGCTCCAAGTTCGAGCCTTTTCCTTCTTCATTTAAACATAATTCTTGGTTTTTGCGTACTTTGAAATTTTGACATAGAATCACTCTTTTGACCTTATAAGACAAATGTGAAGGAGCCGTTAAAATACAGAACAAATAAATAAATAAAAAGGAGGAGAGGGTATGCGTAGTGCACACCCATGGTTTACCATGAGATTTAACAGTTAATCCCCACCTCAACAAGCTATTCTTGGGCAGATGGCAACTTGGCACAGAAACCATGCCATATTCGTTGCTTATTAAGCTAAATATTTGGACCTTTTAAATACCCACAAAAAATAATTTATTCATAAAAACAATAAAACTAAAACCAACACAACAACAACAAGAAGAATCACAGAGTTCAAACTTTTTCTGATAACCAATTCCTCTCCGAATTGAAAAAGGTCAGTGAAACTCTCTCCATTTATGTTTATTTTAATCCTCTCTGCATTTAGATTCTGGATAAAATTCTGTGCTTTGTAATCTGTGCATCTCCTGTCAGTTTAATCTTCTTCTGGATGAAGACAGGGAATTGACAGAGAAGTTAAAATTTTGCTTCTTGGGTCAAATCTTTTTCCTTCACCCAACTGTTTGTTTGCGGAGAAAACGCTGGAAAATAAGAAGAAAACATTGGGTCTCTATTTTGTTTGTTTGGTAGACAGTGTTATGAAATTGGGTCGATGAAACTAAACCATCTACTTGCCTTAAGCTCAGTTGAGTGCTAGTTTGAGTTTTCTCAGGTCTTAATCTATGGAAAACTTAGGAATTCAAAGTTTGGTTCTTTTTATCTTGTTGCATTTTCCCAGCAGCAAAGCAGAGCATATGTTTTGGCAGTCTGATTTGAATTTCTGATATTTTTTCAATTTTCTTCCTTTAATCTTGAACGAAAGGAATTCTTCAAGTGTTTGAATTTTATGACTATTTGGTTGTCTAGAAGATGCAGAGAAAAATTGAAATTTTATGTTGTTTTATTTTATTTCCGACTTCCAGAGAAGATACACATGGTATGGTATCTTATCTGTTTGCTAAGAATTATCTATACGGATGTTCTTTTTATTGATTTACGTAGTGTCAATCATTCCATCGCCAATGATCCTCACTCTTCCTTATGAGATGTCGAGATTATTATGAATTTATGATCTTATTTCAAAACTGAGAATTTTAGATTCTTTGTCTTGTGTCTTACGTTAGTTTTATTGTTGAAACAGGTTTTATAAAGCATATAGCATCATGAGATTCAAAAGTGGAAGCAGCGTGGAAGTATTGATCAAAAAGGAGATGCCTTCAGGCTCCTGGTGCTGTGCCAAGATAATCTGTGGTAACGGCCACAACTACAATGTTAGATATGATGGATTTGAGGGTGCCTCTGATAAGGCCGCTGTCGAAAGGGTACCCAGAAATGCAATTAGGCCTTGCCCTCCTCCACTGGAAGTGTCAGAAAATTGGGTTCCTGGTGATCTCGTTGAGGTTTTTGACAACTTTTCTTGGAAAATGGCAACAATTTCAAAGGTTTTAGGAAAGCAGTACTTTTTAGTCAGGATACTTGGATCCTCCCAAGAATTTGAGGTCGGAAAATTTGAAATCCGAGTCAGACAGTTTTGGCAAGATGACAAATGGATTGTGATTGGAAAGGTAATGTCGTCTGAATATATTTGCCTTCAGAATATCTTTATTTACATTTTGCAGTTTTATGTGTCTAAAAGTTTTGAAGTGTTTATTGAGGAGCTTGTGTTCAATATACTTGCTTCTTTGGTCTTTGTTTTTGTTTTGCTTTTTTTAATCTGCATCGTGGACACTTACTGAAAAGAAAGCACGCATTAAGGTTAATCAGTAGTTGTACAAAATTTAGCATCACAAATGAGTGATTGATATAGACTCTAATAGTATAGATGTTTCATTTTGAACGTTTGAAGTCGGAAATTTGCTTTGGCTGTTGGAATTGTACTGATCAATAATTTAATGTAGTGCAGACCAGAAAATAACTTCCACTAGATGTCTTCTTGTTTTCATGTTCTTATTTTTTGTTTACTTTTGCATGCAGGGTTTGAACAATTATGAGTATGGAAAGCGTGGTGAAACTTTAAAGTACAACCAAAGTTCTTGTCTCAAAGCTCAGAAGAATGAAACGCACGTTGCCTTCTCTCATAATCTGAAGAGAAGATCGCCCTACTTGTATTTCCAAGATGAAGCATATGATGGATCTGCTGAGAAGTTTCGAGCTGTTGAAAGAGAGGGCAAGCGTCTCCGAGTAATTTCTGCTAATTTATGCACACTTTCTGAACAGGTAGATGTTGCGGTACCAAGACATATGCAGGGTGGAAAAGAAATACATGCTTCTCTTAACAACAGAGCAACTGTATTTTCTGATGTTGATATGGAAAGAAGGAAACCAAGTGGTGACGTTGGGTGTTTCTTTGCTGTTAACTTAAGGTTGAATGATGCTGATAGTGTGACATGCTCTGTTGGTAGTTGTAGTATCGGTAGCAATGATTCCTATAAGTCACCTCCTCCTGTTTCTGCTAGTTCTACTGAAGATTTTGATGATCGGTCATCTGATGCTGAATCTATTTGTCAATTGGGATATGAGGAAGGAAACTCTCTCCTTCCTGCAAAGGAAGAATTGGCGGCTGAGATCCATAGGTTAGAGTTGCATGCCTACCGTTGCACGATAGGGGCATTACATGCGTCAGGACCTTTAAGTTGGGAACAAGAAGAATTGGTGACCAATCTTCGCCTTTCACTCCATATATCAAATGATGAACATTTAATGGAGCTTAGAAACTTAGTATCTGGAGATAACAGCATTCATATTAGATGACAGGAAAACTGGGACCATGTCTTTTGATTCATGTTTTTCTTCTAGCTGTAGAATCTGATGAAATTTTCTTTAATGACCGTACTCCACTGTAAGAAACAAGATGAGATGTTTTGATATCCTGTTATTTTTAGTTACAACAAATAGTTGAAACTCAATGTAGTACAAACTTTTCCAAGTATGCATTTTATCAAACTCATCTTTGTGAATCAATTGTTTTCTTTTGTTTATCTCTGGGATTGTACTGAGAAGCATATCGTGATTAAGATGTTCAACATAAACCTTACTATAGGAAGTTTTGTAAACATGTATTATGGATGCATTTTGCAAGTAAACGACTGTGCATGTGCTCTTATAAAAAATCTGATTTACATATATAGTGTGTATCTTTTTTCCTTCTGTTGATTTGTGAGGCTGATGCTTGCTCTTAGATTCCCTGAGTCATGAGAAATATGTTCCATGATTTATAACAAGTCAATATCTTGATTGTCCCCCTATCATTTGGAAGTCTAAGAAATTTCATTTGTGGACAATATTAATGCTTCCCCTGCGTTTTCCAGGGCCGAACTAGGAGGCTTGTCGCCTTTCTTTCAAGTCTCCAAAGATGATCTTGGGGCTTGCCAGCTTTCTCTCAGTCTAGACGCGAGGGTAATTATTATAGGACAGCTTCTGATTCTCCTGTTCTCATTAACATATCTGGTCTCTTCATTCTTCCATGTCAGGCCACCTGTGAGCCTTAGATAACTGTTTTGCTGAAGGATGTAAGACAAGAATCTTGTGGCTGACACAGGATGACCTGAGATGTGGATGCTTGTAAAGGTTTTATTTCAAACCTTCGCCTCAGCACACCCGCATATAACTTATTTGACTTGCTGATATCTTTCTTATTCTCCATCTGCTAGAAATTTATCATGTGAACGCAGTTGCATTTCGTGACATTCTTCGTTTATATGGTTTACTGCTGTTTTTTTTTGGGTTGTGTGTTATGTCTCTTTTTTATTTAGGCGGGGAAGGTTATAAGTTTATGAAGCCTAGTCAAGGGTCTTTCAATTTTAAAAGTAAAGTTCAAAATATTGTAATTTTCCATAAGCATGGGCAGTCAATCTATTTTCAAGCTTAAAGTTTCCATCAAACAGGTAAGCATTGTTAATTAAGATGTGCGATATTATCCAGAAGTTTTATATTGGGAGTGGTTTCAAACTCTAATCTCTAATCTGCAAACCAGGAATGAATTTGTCAACTCTCTGGGTGTAAGCAGTAAGAAGATATCAATGTCCTGATTATAGGCATCTGGACTGTCCTACAGCTCTTGAATTCTTTGTGATGATTGCAGTATTTGTAGCATATCACAAACTTTTTGCTTGCTCCTGGTTGACACAGATTGTCAGCCATGTTCTTTTACTGCAAGTTTTGAACTGAGGTAGGCAGGAGAGGGCTATACTGAACACAGAACACTGAAGGAAACATAACTCATTTCTCCGTTAATACGACATTAAACTCTCACTGATCTCAAATTAGTTTGTTTTGTCCTTATTAATTTTCCATGGAAAAATAGTACTGGATTTGGATGTCCTTTAGGTGGAAATATTATTTGTTTCTGTCCATCCTTGCAAGTCGTTTCATTTCTCTATCTCACTTGTGTTTGTGAGGCTTCAAATTTTTATCTAAGCAGGCCTGAGTTCGATTTTTAGTTTATGGTTCCTGCTGCAGATGCTTTGTACGTGAAATATATATCAGCTTGGTTTGAATACCATAAAGCTGTGACTGGTGTCCACTGCCCATCAAATTTTTGAATTTGATGCAATTATTCCAAGGATCTTGAGCATGTGATGATAACATCATATCCCTTGGAGTTGCTCTTAGCAACTCAAAATGATTCTGCTAATCTGTGCTCAGTTTGTACTTTCACCCCGTGCCATTGTTTGGTCTCTCAACTTAACATGTCCTGTCGTTGATTTGTTTTTATCACCAGAGAAGAGAAGATGGTGTAGCTACTGTTCATAAGGAGGTTGCTTGTACTTTATTTGTATATCTTGTGAAGATTTTCAGAGCATGCGAAAGGACAACGAAGATTTTCATATCAAGTGTTTTTGAAACCAAGCAAGTTCATTGTCCGTGCATACAAAAGCACCAATATTTTATGGGCCTCTTGACAAAAAAGAAAACAGTTTTATGGGCCCAAGTTTAGGTATTTTTGTTAAGTTGGGCGAGGGATTCTTGGGCTTCACATATCCAATATTGGAAGAAAATCATATAAATTTGATAAGCAGGTTAAACTTCTCTAATGAGACTCACTAACTTGACCAAGTAACCTAACCCATGTATGCATTCCTATTATCTTATTCACAAAACGTGTTTTGACTGATAGTGATGAGAGAGCTGGTCCAAGGATGACCACATGACAACCTTGAAATTTATATACGCGTCGTCCTGACTCCTGATTGATTAAAATGTTGCTAAATTTCTGTTGTTTCTTGTTCAGAGTTAGAATCTTGAAACAAAAGGGCAATGAAACGGGTGGGGGTTGTCACTGAAATGACCAACAAAGTTCCAAAGGTGTCATTCTTGCAAGCAAAAGGGGCGTTTGTGGATTAACAAAATGAGTGGTGTGGTGCATTTATGTGGCTCCACCAAATCCTCTGCTCTTGTCTCACTTGCATCTCTTCATGATTGTTGTTCCCATGTGATTTTGCTCCTCTCACAAATAGAGACAGACAGATAGAGAGAGAGATGTCTATGTGGGACTTCAACTGATTTGAGTTTAGGCTCCTAATCAAGCTTTCAATTTCCTCATCATCTTAACTAATAATATATTTCCTCAGATGACGTGGTTGGGCGGTGCTTGAGTTCTCCATCTTATCAGGTATCAACCTCAATTTGGACAAGAATGTTATTAGTGTCATTTGAAATATCTAACACTAAAACTTAGCTGTTTTTCTATTGCAAACCATATTCTACTTTAGCATAAACTACAAGAAGAGGAATTTGAACTTGAGTGTAGAGTGAAAACCGCATCCACTTCAATCAATTTCGCTAAGTCCACATCTGCAACTTAGCTCATTTTACCTAATAAGATATACAACATTTATTGTTATATGCTCACTTTATCTCTGTGTCTGTATATTGAGTTTAGTTTTTTGCATGCCACTTTCTTTTGGAACAGAGAACGTGTCTGTGATGTGCTGCTGTTGTAAACTTGGGATGAAAGCTCAATCAGCCAGAATTTGTTATTGGTTGTCAGCAAATGTTGGGATCTGCTTGTATCGGAGGACATTGATTCATGATATTCTGTTAAAAATAGACATTATCTTACAACTAACTTATATATATTATATATATATATGGAATTATGGATGATATAGTATATAGAAGAAGGAAGGAGTGATGCATGCCAAGTTGCCAAATGGGGGCAAGAGAAGAGAAGGAGAAAATGGCCAATCATGCAAAAACAGAAAGAGCTAGGCCTTTGGTCTATGGCAGACCGACAGAGTCGCATTAATCAAGGGCAGACATTAGCCAGCTAAATTTCTTTGGCATGGCTGCAAAATTGGGAGACATTTGGGGCTGATTTATATTCATATTAATATTGATATCAATAAATACTTTGTTTGATTAGGGAATTGGGATGACTCTGTCACAACCATAGATCTTAAATATTTTCTAGGGATCTATAAAACCCTTATATTTTTTTAATTTGGTAGGGTGGGGGTACAAAAAACCCAATTCCTTAGACTAGGAGGTGGACATATCTTCCATGGGCCATGGCATGGAGATAATCAATTTAATTTCTTGTTCCCGTTCTTAGGTTTCCAACGGCTACTTGCACAAAAACAAATAACCATAACTTTTGCTCCAAGTTTTTCTGCATTATTGTCGTTGTATTTAACCAATATTTTAGAATGTTAGCTTGACCTTTTGAGATGGAGTCATTGGAGTGTTGATTTTGTCGCCTAGCAAAGTGGGGGAGACATGGCCTAGATGTTAATGTGGGAAGCATGCTCAAGACCAAGCACAAGAGAACAGAGAAGCCTCTAATATAAATGAAAAGTTAAAGTTAATTAACATTAATAAGATTAGGACAGGGATTACAAAATTTATCGGGGGAAGCGTGTTACAGATTAAACAATTGGGAAAAGAAAAAAAGGTTAAGGAAGAATCATAGGTACGTGAAATATTTATATATTCTTGTTTTATGTGATTGGGGTATCGTAAAGGTAATTCTGGCTCTCTTCTCATGCCTTCTATTCAGATAGAAAACAAAGCAAAGAAAAGCAAAGCAGCACACTTCACCAAGATTAAGGAAGGCACACACATAACATAATAATGGTCTTCTTCTGGTCCTTAACATAGCACAATTTTCAAGATAATCCTCGTGATTAGGAAGAATAATCAGATTGTAATCACCATTAATGCATGCACCAGCATGGTCCATGGTGCCCCAGATAGAAAGAGGAGGTGGTTTAATTAACTTGTGAATTGAAAATTATGAGTCATAATAAGGTAATTAAGGGATGAGTGATGAGATCACATGGTTCTTGGCATGCTATTGATTCCTTTAACACAACAAAAAAAGGTAAAATACACACAAAAACAGAAGAGGAGGAGGAGGAGAGATTTGTTACTTGTAGAGCTCCAAACCCACATGCTTCCATGGGGACCATAAGAATTCAAAACCCCAAAATTAGAGCTACCTTCCAAAGAGCATGAGAAGATCCCAAAAAGTAATACAAAAAGAAGGGGTTGGTTTGGTTGTCTCTCAAATCTTACTCCTTACTAAACTACAACTCAAAATTAGACACAAAAACAAACTGCAACTGAAAAGCCCTAAACCCCATAAAAAGGAGAATGTATCAAAAAAGTGCATCTGCATGCTGGCTTACAGTCACTTTGCTTAAAACTATCATTTTTCATGCCTTGGGTACTGCATGTGTCCTTGCTTTTACTCTTGTTTCTAGTAACTAACAATGCATCCAATTTTCTTTTTCTTTTTAATCTTGTTTAGAAATAATAATCGAAGCTCAAGAGTCAAGGATTTGAGCACCCCATGCTTATCACAAACTGTAAACTATAAAGGGGCACCTACTTTTTCTTATGGATTTGTAAATAAAATAGCAGAAATTCTTGCGTTGTGTTTGTGAGCATGGTTTTCTAATGCTTTCTACTATTACTTAGATTCATCTTTTAACATCTAGATTTCTAGTTGTAGATGTATAATATTATACAACACTGGTTTTACTTGCAATTTAAGATAACTATTTTAATGGAAAGGAGTTGCCCTAAAAGAGTTACATTGGGTTGCTCATTCTTAACTGGTAGCTATATATATATATAGTTGCTCTAGACTTTGCCATGAAATAAGCAAATGTTAATGCATTGGTAACATACATCATACAGTTGTTTGGGTTGCAACAAACTTGTTTTCTAATCAACTGATGAATTCCCCACGAAACAAGTGTATTGCCAATTGAATAGACCAAAAGAGGGTAAGGTACCCTGTCCAGGAGTCAAATCAGAGACCAAATTTGGCTCTTCAATGTTTGAAAAGGCCAATGGGATATGTTCTGTATCTCATTCTCATCTCAGGTAGATTTCACAATTGCCATCAACCAAATGATTCTTGATCAGTTCAGCACCAAAAACGTAAATTTTTCTTAATGCAGACAGGGAGACAGAGCAGCAGAGGCAACATGGCTTGAGTTGAGAGACAACCAATTAAGGATGATGATATTACAAAACTTTGTAGAAACAGAGGAGAATATACATTACATACAACACAGGAGAGACAGAGCAAGCTACCTACTTAATTGTTAGCAATTCACTAATTCCTAAGATTCATAAAACAAAAACTTACCTGCCATGCCATGCCAGGGTTAAGATTTTTGTTTGGTTAAAAAAAAAAAAAAAACCCATGATCATGGTCGTCATCATGGGTGATGGGGGTCAGTAACTCTAGGTTAACTGAGTTCAACATCTTTCTCTTAAGATATTTATCTCATAAGTAAACCCAGCGTTAAGAAAACGAAACAGGCAAAACAGAAATAAATTAAGGAAATCGGCCAAATGGGTATTTCGGTCAATTCACTTCGAATCATACGCACACTCACACACAAACCAATGGTAGTAATAGATCAGGGCCCTTGATCTTGATCCTGATCATGTTGGGGCAGACGTTGAAAAATGATGGGCGCACCGTATTGAGGGTAAAGTAGCATCAGGACCGTTGGTGCGTGTTGATAGGTGGGGGCCAGCCTGAAAGAGAAGCGTTGAAGTATGATGGCCAGAGCTAATTTTGCCTGCAACAACGCTAGATTTTGCCCAATGCATGTGCGGACCCCGAGCCCAAATGGAATGAACGCCACCGGATGCTTGGCGGCTCGGGCCACGCCCTCCGCGAATCGGGCCGGATTGAACTCCTTCGCGTCATTCCCCCATATGCTCTGATCATGATGAACAGCCAAGATCGGAATCAAAAGCTCGGTCCCACGTGGGACCTTGTAACCCCCAAGCTCCACATCCGTTCTTGACCGTCGGATTGTCGCGATAGTAGGCGGGTACAACCGTAGTGATTCATTTAGGATCATATTCAGCTGCATACGAATACACCGTATCATTGCACGTATAACAACAGACAGTTAGAATTATGTATTTGACCCTTAGTGCCTAACATCTGCGTTTGAATGTTTTCTG